TTTAAAGTGATTTTTTATATATGTATATATATACTCATATAAATCTCAAAAAGATAGAGGGTTGGATTGAGTATTGGTTAGGGATTTAGGCTTTCACTATGAAAGGATCAAAGAGATGTAGGGTTGGAATTTATTGATTCTAATCAAAGGGGTAGGATGCTTTTATATTTTTGAAAATTTATTCTTTCCCTTTTTCTCCCTTTTTCCTATTAGTTCACCCTTTTTACCATAATTAAGAATAGATGACAACTTTCCTTAAAAGGCTCCCACTTGCCTCCCCCATTTATGGATTTTTAAAATTAAAATTTAAAATTTTTAATTTGAAATTCTAAATTCTAAATTCTAAATTGAAAGGCAAAAAAGGAAATGATTAGTGTTTTTTAGTTTAGGGTTTTGGGAGAGCTAAGTTAGGATAAGGATGACTTAAGAGTGGAGAGAGTGTGTATGTTTAGATCTAGGGCTAAGGTTGCATATAGGGTTGATGAAGATTTTGGGTGATTTCTATGAATGTATAAAAATATATAGGTTTTTTTTTTGTTTTTTTTTTTTTTGCAATGAAAGGGCAAGTCTAAGGCTTTGTTTGGATTTGGTGTAAAACATCATTAGTGTAAAAGTACACTGATGACATTTTACACTGAACCGTATAATAAGTGATCGTCACATTTTGAAAACCATGATAAAAAAGTCTAAAGTTTTACATTGATAAAATTAATGTAGTATTTACATCGATAATCGATGTAGAACTTTATGCTTAATGAGGTTTTACATTGATTCACTATGTAAAACTCCACTCCATCCAAACACCAAATTTGAACTATAGTGGAGTTTTACATCAATCTTCATTTACACTCATTCCAAATGCCAACAAAACTGGAACAATGTAAACTTTTACATCATTCTTGATTTACACCAATTCCAAACATAGCCTAAGGGGTTTGATGTGCAGGATTCAAGGGCAAGGATTACACCTTAAAATGTAAGGGTTTATCTCAATTAACGAGATCATAGGAATTGGAATCTTCAAAGATAAAGGGGTAAAATTGGGAATTTTGTAATGAACAATTCCATGGTGGTTATAGGGTGTCTAAAATGGACAATGATGGGGTTTGATGGCTTTGAGTGATGTGCTAGAGTGAGAAGTCGTGATTTGGGGTGTATCAAGCAATGAGGATTATCAAATTAGGATCTTTCTAGCTTAATGAAGGGGTAAAATGGTCATTTTAGTGTTTAAAAAATGGAGGATGGTTGATTGGGACATCTAGGAGGGGGATGGTGTTGTCTAGGCATATTAAAGGGTTTATCGTAATTTATATCTTGAATTTAGGCAATTACGACCAATGAAAGCCCTCGATTTGGAATCTTTTTAGATGAGAGGTAAAATGGCTATTTTATGGTCTGAAATTTGTTGTGTTGTTAGTCAAGAGGTTTTGAGGGGGTTCATTGGTGTCGGATGATGTATGACAACAAATATCTTGAATTTGGAGAGTATTGGGCGACGAAAGTGGTATGTTTGGAATCTTCTTAAATAAAGGGTAAAATGGTCATTTTAAGGTATAGAATTTAATGGATCATCAATCGGGAGATTTTGATGTGGTTTGGAAGTGTTGATGATGGATAATGAAGGAAATCTTATATTTGGGGAGCATCGAGTGACGAGGGTGGTCCATTTGGAATCTTTATAAGGAAAGGGTAAAATAGTCATTTTAAGGTTTAGAATTTGATGGATCATTGATTGAGAGGCTTTGATGTGTTTTGAGTGTTTGATGATGCATGACAACGGATATCTTAAATTTGGTGAATATCGGGCGGCGGGGATGATTTATTTGAAATCTTTTTAAGTGAAGTATACAATGTTCATTTTAATGTCTGGAATTTAACGAATCATCAATCATGATGTTTTGATGGGATTTAGAAGTATCGGATGATGATGACAAATATTGAATTTGGAGAGTATTTGGCAACGATGATGGTTTATTTGGAATCTTTTTAAATGATGGGTAAAATGGTCATTTTATGGTCTAAATTTGTTGGATTGTCAATTAGGAAGTTGATAAAGGTTTTGGAGGTCTCAAATAGTGTGTCGGTATGAATTGGCCCATAGGGTGGGTTAAGAAAAATTGAAGTGAAATAAGCCCCATGATATTTCCAACTGAGTTCAGTTTGATTCCAACAAAAAAGGCATTTTTTCATTGTAATTTGATGTCAAAAAAAATGTTTTTTTTTTTTTGGCAAAAATAATGGTACAGGCAAAAGTTACCCAAAATCATAAAAAAGAAAACACCGCAATCGAACATCTGAATGCAAAATTATGGCCTTCAGATATTTGCAAATACATTGAGTGTTCAACCTGTGACCCGATGACCGGATTGATGGGTGGTTTTGACTAAATCTTGGGTTTTAACCAAACCCACCCAGAATCATGGTCAGATGACAATTCAACTATCCAGGGTCAATGACGGGTTGAAAACACTACTTTAACCTCCTATGCCTCCATAAACCTCCATCTACAGATAAATTGTACAAACTGAAAAAAGATGATGACATTATAAATAAATTATACGAACCTCCCATGTAGTTTGAGCCTTTGAGGTTGAGGTGTTAAGAGAAAATTGATGATGTCATGCTTTCAAATACAAAAATTCTAGTTTTGCCTCATGATAAAGATATTGAAATATTCATTTACAAAAAAGCAAAATATCAATGAAAAAAATAAATAAAAACAATTAAAGGAAATCACTTCAAAGAAAACCCCTTCCTCTACTCTCCCTCACTCTCACCAAATCTCTAATTATTTTTATGCTATCTCTAATTATTATTATTATTATTATTATTATTATTATTAATGGAAATACAAGGGTAACTTTATAATTTAATTCTCTTACTCAAACTAGCAAAGGGGGTTACTTTGTATAATATATCCGGAAGGTGGAAACTAGAGAGTGGTTTTTAGAGAGGTCAAAGTTTGAGGATAAAGTAGCCATCAAAAACTAAAGGGAGGTCCATCAAACTACATATTTATACTACTGCTAAAAATGTGAATGATAGTGTAGAAGTTTTGTTTGACTAAAGCATCCAAATTATTGAATTTGATCTCTCTAATAGTAAGGTCAAAAATGTAAATTGAACAAATACTTTTCTTCTCATTCAAAACCTTCTCATTAAGTCTTATATTTAAGGTAATAAGTCATTCAAAACCCTTATTTATGAATTTGGTCCCTCAAGGGCTCAAGGTCACAAAATGTAATTTGAATTGCTACATTTTTGCCCATTCAATACTCTCTCACTAAGTCATATATTTAGGGTATTAGCTCCCATTATTTCATTGAATCCTATATTAATTAACCATATTAAATAAAAATAAGTGTGAGAAAAGTAATTCTTTTAATTGATGATAGAAATAAAATACAAATTTAAACCAACCCAAAAATACAGTTATGATTGGTGATGAGTTAAATTTAACCTTGTTATTATATAATAATAATAATAATAATAATAATAATAATAATAATAATAATAATAATAAAAATAATTAGAAGAAGATGAAAATACACAAAAGTATAAAAAGTACGAAAATTTTGTAGAACATATTTGGGCACATCTTTAATATTGTATAAAACAAAAAAAAAGTGTAAGAAATAAGAATAATTTTTATAACCAAAGAACTATAAAAAAATATAGAAATATATTATTTACTATCATAAAAAATTACCACCTGCATTTACTAGTAGCCATAATGGTTGCATTCTTGCCCACGTTTTTTCACTTCTTAACCTCTTCTGCTTATAATCTCCTCTTATTATAATGAACAATTACTGCCAACAGTCTAACATCTGAACATTCCTGTTCTTGGATGTTAGGTTTAGTGCAAAATGCTTCTTAATTTATTGATTTAGGAACATATAGGAGAATGTTAGAAAACAGAAATGTTCACAGCTCACAGATGAAAAATATTGATGATCAATAATCACAAATGGGGAGAGATTTTAGTAAGATAATCAGTAGCTACAACTTGTAACATTCAGAATGGAGATTATTTACGATGGAGAAGGACGTGGAAAGATAAATATTTTCCTCCTGATTGTCTAGGAGAAGCAGATCTTTAATCTAATGATGCACCATCCCATATGGAATAAAAACGGCTAGATCTCTAAAGTTTAATTAAAACCAAAACAAAGCTGCTTAGAGGGTTTTGGAATTTTTGTTCTAATTTTACAAATAGAAAACAAGGAAAACTGAACCAAATACACCCCAAGTTCAATATAATTGGTTTAATATCAGATGGGATTGGAATAGATCCATATTGGTTCAGTTCAATTATATATGAATGAAATAGATACCACTTGTAGCTAGCGCTAGGTACCAACTGTATGAATAGCAATTAACAGTTAGAGTTGAAACAATTGAGAAGACAACAGTGTTCAAATGAATAAGTAGTCAATAGGCATAAGCTGTGCTATGGAAATAATTGCCTTGTCAAGACCTTGCAAATCTTGAATTTGTAGCTACTAGCTACTACTGATTGTAAAACTTAGAACCCTCCTTTGATAATGCGAGAATGACGATGTAATTAAAACTTTCTTGGTCTACTTATCCAAAACTCACTCACCCGGTCACCCCCAAAGCAAACAGGTACAAATTGCATGCAAAGTTGCACACTAAGACTAATAAAATGCAAAGACACTGCAATTTCCTCATTCATCTGCAATTCTACTGTAGATTTTTTTTTTTTTGATAGATTGCAGTTCTACTGTAGTTCATGCTTTAGAAATAGCTAAAAATAGAATAATCAATTGGTTTTGCATGGAGAAATGGACGTCATGAAACCTGACCCAAAGCAGTCAATGGCACATTTTCTGCATGGATGTACCTGTGCAAGGAATACACAATATATATCACAATGAAAACAATTTCCTGCATGGTTCTACCTTCCAAATTCTGAATTCAAATGAACATCAGGATCAGGAGTACTATAACCACTATAACAGGAGAATTCATGTCTCTAGTGAACCCATGTTGGAGAGAAATAGGTATCAAGCTGTATGTATGTGACTGAACAGGAAGTACATGACATACTACTATTGTATTTTATCCTAGTGTTTTTTTCCTACTTTTTCTTTACATAATGGAACATGTATAATTTCCCAAGTCCAAATAAAAATAGTATGTGAATGTTCTTTTTCTAATGTCAAGGTTTACATTTAATGAAGCTTTTATTATCGTGCTTCAGACAATTGTATAGCCTCTTGGTCATGTGTTGAATCCTCAGCCCAGGAAAGGTGGCAGGACATAACTGAGAACTCTTGATTACGAATTACCTCAAGCTTCTCCCACTCTGCCCACCTCTCAGCCAGCCCCACTCCTTGCAGCATCCTTACCACTTCTGCCATCTTTGGGCGATCCTCTGGAGAGCTTTGAGTACACAATAATGCAACCTGGACAATGATTTCAACTTCTTTGGGATCATAAACTTTTAAATGGCTATCCACAATGTCATGGAGCCTTTTCTCCCTCAGCAACTTTTTGATCTGTTGCATGAACACAAACAATTGTCAGAAATATATAAGAAAGCAATTGCAAAGACAGTCTGCAACATCACTTTCTTTGGATATTATTTTCATTCCATTCAGCAGCATTTTATTTGTGATAAAAAAGGCCATTATGCAATATTGCTCCCAGCAATATGGGGTCTTGGGATGGGTGAACTGGATGCAGACCTAACCTTACGCATTTTTAGCAGCTTAGTTGTAGTAATAAGGTTATGTACCATTGAGATTTAAGGATGAATGGGAAGCAATTACATTTACATTTGCAATCAACAAGAAATTGCGATTAAAATGAGAGTATGATTTGCAACAGTAAGTAAACCTCTCTCTCTCCCTAAATTCATTCTTAGGGGGGGTGGGGGAGCGGTGTACAAGATAAAGTTTTACACTTCTCATGGGTTAACCACAAATGGACAAACTCAAAGAGAGGATATCTATCCAAAGGTGAGAAGCTAACACTCATACAAAGTGCTCTATCAAACTTACCAATTTATTACTTTTATCTGTTCACTGCCTCAATCTCTATTATCAATCAATTGGAAAAATTGAGCAAATTTATGGAGGATGGTACAAATAATGCAAAGAAACTTCACGTAGTATTGGTATTCGCCCCCTAAAGATCATGCACAAAGACTTGTTGGGAAAGTGGCTGTGGATATACAGCCTTGAAAAAGAAATGCTATGGAGGAAGCTGATTAGAGCTAACTATGGTGGAACTGATCTGGACAGGCATTCACAACCACCCCCAACATGCTTAAGGCTCTTAACAACTGGAAGGGGGTCATGAAAATTCAATGAAGATTTCTCTAAATCTATCAAATTCAAGCCCAACAAAAGAGATGGGGTTCTATTTTGGAAGGACACCTGGTACAATGTTTGACCTCTCAGTCAATCTTGTCTCAGGCAGGAAGATGCTTTGGTTAAGGATTGCTTCTAAACCTCAACTGGCTTATATGGACACCTAACCTGCAGAGGTTCAGTACTGGGAGGTTCAAGAATTGCTCTTCTGGAATCAATCAACAAGATCCATCCTTGAATTAGCCTGCATTTGATAAATAGGACAGTACTCATTTTACTATCATTTGTTAATAGCATATTTTGACTTTTTTCTTATTCCTCACTAAGATCTGTTTAATGTATGTTTAAGAAATCCACAATTGTCTGATAGTTAGGTAGAAAGATGGCAATGCACAACCCATTTTTGGGTAGTTAGGAACATGTTTCAAGGAAACCATATTCACAAGATGAAATGAGTTAAGATATTTATGCCCTCCTACTCAATTTTGTTTACAGGTTTATGCACAAATTGATGCATAGATTGGATTTTCATTTATTTTTGTTGGTAATCACTATTTCCTATTGTAAGAAAAGTTAAATCAACACTTAGCCATGTGATATCAACTTATGAAATTATTTCCAAGTTTTGTAAATGTATAGAGAAGTTCAGAGAAACCTAAAGTACCTGCACATATTTAGAGTGTTCAAAACTCAAAAAATATAAAGAAGGTAAACCACATGGATCTGAACACTGAGTTATAAAAAATAAGATTCCTTTCTTTTTAGTTTTATAGGTGCAATAGCACACTTTGACATATTGTCCCTTTTTTTTATCTCTTGAAGTGTTCTTTTTGTTTTTTCCTCTGAATCTTTTGGGATATTAACTGATCAGAAAATTTATTAAGCAACAACAACCGCTCCAATATTATCACATCAGGGCTAGTCCATCATCCTTACCCTCCCCCCCCCCCAACCCAAATGAATTGTTATTTCAGTAAGTAAATTAGTGCCATCAATTGGAAGCCACAAGACACTTTACAAGAGAGTTAATTCAACTCTTTTGTAATTCACTAATGTATTCCAGGTTTTATGATGCCAGATACAAGTCTTTGAATAAAAGTAAGATGCAGAGGTGAATGAAAGTATTACAATATGGGAAATATCATATTGGACATACAACTGGATGATAATTACTTAAATTCTTGCAATTTTAAACCTTTTAACCAAACATAGTCAAATACCAAGTTATACAACAAATTCATACTGTAGTTATTACCAACTCCATTTTGATAGAATGAGATTAATATTGTTCATGCATGGAATCTCCTTCTAGTATCACTCTACTACACCTCCATAGGTCCACAATGTTTTATTTTTATTTTTATTGTTTTTGATAAGTATAGGTCCACAATGTATTATTATGAGCCATCACACTATATTCAATTATAAACATCCATGCAACTAGGATATTAGAAAGAAAGAAAATGATAATGGAAATGTACTTGTGGGAATAGAAGTGGTACTTTTCTTTTGGAGCTAAATTACATACATTTTTTTCAATAATTAATTTGTACTGTCTACTGCAAGTAAAGCATACAACCATGATAATGAGATGACTTACATCTATCATGTGAAAACTGAATGAAATCATGCCCAGGATCCAAAACCAGCACATATGCACATAGAACATAAAGAAAGGAAAAAGGCAAAAGAAAGAACAGGAAAAGGAAGGGAAGAAGAATAAAAAGGCTACAGTATTTCATGTCACAAAGCATGTATAAGGAGATCCATTGAACCATTCAGAAAGGGATTCAAGTCAGAAAAGGAGTTAACAACTTTTTCATCAGGAAAACTGGAATTTTTAGATTAAAAGTGATATATTTCATGCAACTGGAAAGAAGAAAACTAATACTCTTACATGATCAAGCAGAAAAACATCTTCTTCCTCTTCAAGCCGTGAAAAATCTACTGCACGTTGGCCAGTCACAAGTTCAAGAAGTGTAATACCATAGCCAAACACGTCTGTTTTTTCTGATGATCTTCCTGTGGAAAGATATTCTGGTGCAATGTGGCCCATAGTCCCACGCACCTGGGTTGTAACATGAGTCAATTTTGTGTCAACCAGTCTAGCTAGTCCAAAATCACAAATAACTGCTTCAAACTCGTCATTTAGAAGGATATTAGCAGCTTTCACATCACGGTGTATAATCTTAGGATTGCAGTGCTCATGCAGATACTCCAAGCCATGAGCTGCACCAAAAGCCACACATTTTCTTGTTGACCAGTCCAGGCCCTTCTCCCCAGGTTTTAAATCTGTTGCAAAGATAAAAGAAATGAAAATATTTTCTTTATAGATAACAAACACATAGACATCACAATCTTAAACAAGTTGTTGGAGATATGGATTGAATCATAAGCCATTCAAGAGGAAGTTTATTTCGGTGATTCCCCAATCGAAAATATGTTTCTTTCATTGGGCACATCACACATAACATAGATGGCGTGTTTCATTTTGTATCAGATAATAATTTAGAAACTAACTCTAGATCCCCTACCATACATGTATCTCTAGAATTGCTTCTGGGCAATACTTTGGGATCACCAGAAGAGTGACTTACAGAAACTTTGGGCTTTCTACAGTGATATAAAAGTGTTGTGGGACCTAACAGTGTGGGTCTCGGCCCATTTATGTTATGACTTACTATTTCTTGTTTGGCTATACTTCTGTTATTAAGTGTTAATAGGCCTGGACTTCCTTATTTCAAGTTATTCCATCTGTTACTAATGAGGGGTAAAGTTGTAATCTTATTTTTTAATGTTGCCCTAATATAAATATCAGTTTGAAGGGACTAAAACATAATCTTATGTTCCTTATACTTCATGGACTAAAACATAATCTAACACCAAAATTTTAATCCTTGAGTATAAAATATAAAGAATAGAGATAAAAATATACAATTTTATGTTGACAGATTAAGATGGAAAGCTAACCCAGTTTGTGAATACATAATATTGTAAAACAGATAGCACAGAAGTGAAATTATAAAGAAATACCTCGTAAACGATATGCAACACTGAGATTTTGCATGAATGGATAAACAAGAATTCTCTCTGATGAGGTTGTACAAAACCCGATCAAGTGAAGAAGATTTCGGTGAACTGCGACACTTATCAGTTCTACTTCCCTCTGGAATGCAGCCTCTCCACCAGGATTATGATAATCAGTTAGACGCTTCACAGCAATCTTTGAATTGTCAGAGAGAACCCCTCTGTAAACTTTTCCAAAGCCCCCTTGTCCAATGACATTACTTTCATTGAAATTGTCAGTTGCAAGTTGAAGCTCACGCCATGAAAATCTTCTCAATTGTCCAAAGAAAATCTTGCACTCATCTTCACCTAGAGTGACATAAATGTTAAGAGTTTTAGCTCACAAAGAGTAGTCCCAGGATATGCTATTAAAAAATGAATAACCCTGTTTGTCATTCCAGATTTCAGAAATCATTCGTGAACAACAGATGCATGAAACAAGATGAAGTTAAATATGAAACAAAGTGACCTTGTAGAAGGTCCAAGTATGACAACAATTGTTAATTATGACCTTGATTTAACCATGAAACAGGTAAGCTGAACTCTAAAAAAAAAACACTCAAAATTAGGAAAAAGAAAAAAGGAGTGGATGAGAGTATATTTTCCCAGACTTTTATAGAGGTGTTGCTCATGAGTTAGCACTATGGGATCTCCATTAGAGATGATTTTAGAAAGAAAACAGATCAGCTGTTTGGCTTACAAGTTACAATGTTACATAAGGACCAAAGTTGACAGCTAGTCAATTTCTATGTATGATGGACCTGAGGATTGCTAAGGCTACAATATATCCTGATAACTAGAACATGTCTAAGTTTTTCCATGTGATATGATGGTTGCAAATGAAGCTCTATTCTTCTAGAGCATATGAAGCTCGCAAAGATCAAAGGATAGATATCACCAGTTGAAGAATCAATGCATACTCAAATCTTTCTTAACCCCATAGAGAGATGAAAAATCAATTCTTCCTTATGCTTTAGTTATTTTTTATTCCAACATAGAATCAACATGGCAAGAATCAATGTCAATGAATTTTTTGGTATGGATTCTTATACCTAGGATGCAGCATGAAAGTAATAGGATTAATGTCATGATGTCATTGAAAATTTCAGATTCTTAAAACACAAAAAAAAGCAGAAAGATCAGAAAATGAAAATTACCAGAAACATCAACAAAGAGATCATTTTTAATTCCATGAACTTGACGGTATCGATACACAAATACTGCCCCAATGGATAGAAGAAGAAAGGCACCACAACCTGCAGCACTGACCAGAACTCCAAGGCTAGGCTTTCTGTCTGAATCTGTCAAAGTATCAAGAATGTAGGTAACTTTTTAACATAAAAAGGGGTTGGAAGAAATTGAGATGTACAGGGATGAGAAAAATTAGACCTCGATTAGATAAGCTTGAACCTGAAAAGCAAGGGCGTGATAAGCTAGAGCCACATTCAAGATGAGTTCCTGTAAAACTGATGGACTAACCTTGCCAGTAAAGAGCCATTGAATTATAAAATAATATTCTAGATAAATACCCCTATCACATGTTTACCCACTATGTCTCTAATTTGAAGCAAATTAGACATTTCGGTAAAACTTTGATTGTGGCATAGACATGCACAAGAATATCTTTATTTTTAGACAGTTAAGGAAAAGATTTATACATAAGAATCTATTTAACAGTGAGATTCCATCTGCATGGATTTAGCAAGTTATGACACTTTCTAGTATATTGAAGTGCACTCTGTTCTCCTATTTCTCTTTTCTGGACAATTACTTCAATTTTAACTGTAAGATCTATTATTCTCTTGAATTATATCTTTCTCTTAAGATAAATTACATATAACAAATGAAACAAAAGCTCGTTTTATTCCCCACCTGAATCTTCTAGATCTTTCTTAAGAAAAGGATTACCTAACATTTCTAAGGTTTCATGCTTGGGCTTCTCGTCGTGTTGCATCAGCTAATCCATTGATAATCAACCTTATAACCTCACAAGAGCCCAATATTTGAAGTAAACCAATGCAGGTTGATGGGCACAACCCTCACTGCAACAGAATCACTTCCCAACCTGAGATCCATGCCCCAAGTGTTAGGATTCAGGCAGAGTCCAAGGCCACGAATTGCTCACTTATTGAGCTTTCTTTTTCTCTCACCAACAATTTATAATCTTTCTTTTTGTTCCTTTTGGGGTTCCTCCCTAGTACCATTTTGGTTTTTACTTTGTATTCAAGTTTGTTCTTACAGTTAAAGTTTGAGCTATATCAGTTGAATAATCAGTATGACTAAATTAAAGCAGTATTAAGGTGAGAAAGGTTAATGAGAAGAAAAAGACGAGAAAGAGATTTGGAGGAAAACTATGAGATAGGGATTTATGTCCTATTACTTCTTTTTTACAACAAGAGAAAATAGCAGAGGCTGTCAACTCAGTTCAAATCAGAGAAGAAGAACTAGGAAATGAAAGGGTGTGTTCTCTTGAGTCACACGCCCAGAAAGGATTATCTTATATATGAAAGTGTACAAGGTTATGGAAAGGACAGTTGTGCCATTCTCTTACAAGAAAGAATAAAACAAAAAAATAGTGTACATAAGTTACAACATAAAAGAGTGGTCCCAAGGGCCAAAAAAGGAAAGAAGATGTAAGAGACATAAATCAGTCTCTACACCCCCCCTCAAACTGATGCCAAGGTACGAGCATCAGTTTGTCAACTAGAAACTGGTGGCGAGCATAGGTCAGCCTTTGTGAATAAGTCAGTAAGTTGTAGGGCAGAAGACAAGTGCGGCAGAGATATATGTCCAACAGAAAACTGATCTCTAATGAAGTGGCAGTCAACCTCTATATGTTTGGTTCGCTCATGGAAGAACGGGTTGGATTAAATCTTGATAGCACTCACATTAATTGGAGATGATAAGGGGATGCCAAGGTCATCAAGGAGGACTCTTAGCCATATAATCTCACTACAGACGAATGACAAAGCTCTATACTCAGCCTCTGTAGAGGACTTGGAAACAGTCGGTTGCTTTTTACACTTCTAGGATATGAGAGAGTCACCAAGAAAAACACACCAACCAGTAATGGAGCGTCTAGTATCACGCCTCGGACCCCCAATTTTTTTTAATAATAAAAAGCATGCTAAAAGCTTCCCAAAATACCAAAATTTGAAAAAAAAACTAAAAAAAATAGAGTTTTGGCCGTTTCTAAGTGCCGATACAATACAGCCGAAACTCATATCATATCGACGATACTTTGAGCCTTGCCTGCCCAATCAGCATCTGCATAAGCGGATAAGCTAAGCAAAGGAGATGCAGGAAAGAAAATGCCATGTGAAAGTGTTCCACGAATGTATCTGATAATATGATGGACTGCAGTCATGTACGGTTGTCGAGGAGAAGAGACAAACCGACTGACTACTTAGACAACATAAGAGATATCTGGATGTCTCATGGAGAGGTAGATCAAGAGGTGTGTCAACCTATTTGTCATCACTCAGGTTTGTAGATTTCACAAGATCCATCGCATACTTGTGTTGATTAACAAAATACCCACGGGAAGAGTGAGTAACTTCTAGCCCCAAGAAATAAGTGAGATGACCAAGGTCCTTCATCTTGAAAGACTGATTGAGAAGTTGTTTCAAAGAAGAAATACTCTGATTGTCATCACCAGTAATAAGAATGTCATCCACATACAGAAGTAATAATGTAATTCGTTGAGGACGTCTCGTTATGAACAATGAATAATCTGAAGAGCTCTGTGCTAGACAATGTATGCCCTTAGCTCCAATCAGATTGATGTACAAATACATTTATTATAAATGAATAAAAGTACATCATTGCTTCATGTTAATATTGGTATGTTTCTATGTATTTACCTCTTAAACTGGACATTTATGAGATACATGTTAGTTTAGAATGTTCTCAGTTGTTGGATAGACTTAGGGAGTTTATCCTACCAAGGCTGAAACTGATGTGTTGCCAAAAAAGTTGGGACAGCTTGTCTCAATTGCTAGGTTTAGACCCGAAGCACATATAGTGTGTGTTTGGATGAAACACTGAACCCGGACCATTTTCCAATTATGCCTTGGACCTTGGAGATTGATGGGAAAAATTGGAAAGTTACACAACCCCTAGACTTGGTTATGGTACTTCACTAGGTGTTGGATTGGGTTGTTTTTGATATGTCAATCAATGAAACCATCAAGGGTCAAAACCTAGGTATGTTAGGGTAGTCTGGGAATTCACTTGAATGGGTGATCATAGTGATAGGATCGGCCCATTTTTTGGTCAAAGTGAATGATAGGGCTTACACTCTCTCTGATGGAAACCTAAACTGCCAGCAGTGTATTTCAACTATGTTTGAGATTTGGTTATACAAAATATATTTATATGATATATATTAATGTTTTATGAAAAATGATTGCAAAAGGTTTTAATTCCTGGGATCCATCTGAGTAGAGAGTGTGACACTACACCTTGCAACCAGGGGAAAGGTCCTTCTTTGTCGGGCAGTGTTTGATCATTATAGGCCGAGAGGATAAGTGTAAGAGACCATTAAGGGCTGATTACCTTGTGGGATTTATCTTACTTAAGTCCATTATCCTTGGGTCTTCATAGGATGGATGAATTCAATGATCATTTAAGTGTAAATGTTGGGCCCATATTGATCCCATATTGATGTGCTTAGGGGTTCACTGCGTTTAGTAGGGAATTTGGCCAAGCCTTTTCATAGAGGCTAGGCTGAATCCATGTGGACTTATGTAAGGTCATTGTGGGGTCCCATGCCATACAAATTAGGTCTAAGTGGGCCAAGCAACACTTTGGAATCGTGAGCCTTATAGCTGATGGGCCTAAGGCCCATAATTAATAGGATTTATTAAGTTGGCACATGAAAACTTGCTATGGGGAAATCATGGTTTGGATCTGTGTATAGAGCACCTAATCTTATAAGAAGATAAGGTATATCTCTAATTAGAGTCCATATCTAATTTAAATTTGGATTATCTCCTAATTAGATTAGGAGATAGCTCCATAAGAGATTATAAAAGAGAAGGGGGCGGACTAGTCCAAGACAACTTCATATTTTTGTAGTTTCTGGTTCTCTCTACACCTTTTTGTCTCCCAAATTTTTCTCAGTTCGACATCAGCTATCAAGGACTGATAGAGATCACTTTTCTTTTGATTTTTTTCAAGAAAAATTCAGAGGAATTTCAAGCTCACCTTCCCCAATTCAATCCAAGCAGATGGGTTGCAGTTTTACTGAAAACTGTGTTGCTAAATCAACTTCACCTATACACTACACCATCTTCAGTGGAGGCTAGTTTTAGGACTATTTAGGCATGAACTTCCACCTTGGGATCTGTGTTTGAGGTATCCGTATCAAGTACACATCTCCCTCTATGTTTGATTTAAAATCTGGTCCGGTTCAGTGCAAGACCAATCCTGAAAAATACAGTTTTTCAAAACATAGGGAATTTGATTCCTAGAAGGATTAGGACATTTTTGAAATTTCGCCCAACCATTTAGCATGGTTCGGCCATCCATATGATGGATCCTAACCCTTCCAACACTTCGGGTGAATCCTACATCTGTGACCACTGAACGAAATTTCTCAAACCAAGCCCTAGGGTCTTGTTTAAGACCATATAAGGACTTTTTAAGTCGACACACCAAGGGAGAACCATCATAGTATCCCAGTGGAGGCTTCACATAAATAGTTTCCTCGAGGTCCCCGTGTAAGAAAACATTTTTGACATCCATCTGATGAATCTCCCAGTGTTTAATTGCAAATATAGCCATCAACAGACGAACAATGATCATCTTAGCTATAGGGGCAGATGTCTCATCATAATCTATCCCATACTCCTATTTATACCCTTGTGCCACCAAATATGCCTTGTATCTATCAAGGCTCCCATCAGAACTAAGTTTCATCGAATATACCCACTTGCTTCCAATTAGAGAGGCATTTGAAGGGATAGGAACCATGTCCCAAGTATCATTATCAATAAGAGCTTGGAGCTCAATATTCATGGCTTCTTTCCAATGCAGGACTTCCATAGCCTTCCAGTGTGATGTGGGAATATCTATGATAGACAAAATAGCAGAGAAGGAGCTATGGTTTGAAGGAAAACCATAGCGGTCAAGAGGGCGAGAAACTCGAGATGAACAATGTAAAGGGGGATTAGAGGATGGTTGAGGATCATGGATAGGTGCAGGTGTACTTGCAAGATCAAGAGAAGAAGAAGAACTCATGGCTAGTGATGAAGGGGGCAGAGCGATAGGAGTCGGAGCAGCTAGCCTCTTCCTAGAATAGACATGGAGCAGTTCTGGAGTAGGAGGTGAATCAAAAGAACCTGCAGAGTCAAAAGAATACAGCATCAAATGGAAGTAGCAAGCAACTTAACAATGTGGGTAAAAAAGGAAATGTTCTCAAGAAAGTTGACATTGTGGAACACGTGAACTCGACAAGACATAGGATCATAGCAAAGGAAACCCTTATGATCAGGGCTATACCCCACAAAAGCACACATTGCTGAGTGGGAAGCAAGCTTTGTGCGCTCATGTGGTAGAAGGTGAACAAAACACACACAACCAAAGACATGAAGAACAGAAAAATCAGGTGAATGATGAAACGAGCTTCGAAAAGGAGAGGTATTATGCAAGATAGATGAAGGAAGAATGATAATAAGGTACATAACAGTGTTAGCCACCTCCACCCAAAATGAAATAGGAGCATGGGAATCATGAAGAAGGGTACAAACTATGCTCAAGATATTTTTTTCCTTGCACTTTGCCACTCCATTTTGTTGTGGAGTGCTAGGACAAGATCTCTAGGATTGAATTCCATTGTCTCTCAAAAAGTTTTGAAAGTCTTCATCAAGGTATTCACCCCCCGAGTCTGAATGGAGAACCCCAATGTTCGCATCAAATTGGTTTTTTTATCTTTGCTAAGAATGATCTGAAGGAAGAAAAAACTTCAGATTTGTTCCTCAAAAAATATATCCAAGTAAAGCGAGTACAATTATCGATAAATGTGACAAAATATTTATATCCCAACCTGGAAACAACTAGAGACGACCGAACATCACTATGTACAAGTTTAAAAGGAACAGAAGCATGTTCAACAACAGAAGGAAAAGGTGAAAACATGGATCTTACTCAAGCAACAAGAAATGCAAGGCTTATCAACATTATTAAAAGAAGTAATTTTAAAAGACAAAAATCCATCACGAAATAAAGACTCAAGTTTATTTGCATAGGGGTGACCAAGTCGCCTATGCCACAAGTGCCATACATTATTGCTACAAATAACTTCAAAACTAGGGTAGTAGTAAGCAAACAGGATGTAGAGGAAGGCCCCGGTGTCTTTTCAATTTCCAAGGCAAATAGCTGACCCAGTCTATGCCCCTTCCCTTTCACTGTCCCAATGCGTTGGTCCTGTATCAAACAACCATCATGGGAAAAGGACTGACCAATGTGTGCCCCTGTCATATGGTTAGAGGCCCCAGAATCAATGATCCATAAGTGACTAGGAGAGGAACAATAATAGGATGACTCACCAGAAAGACCGATGGCTAAAAATGCATAGGAAATAGCTGAGGATACTAGTTGCCACATTCTTTCTTCTATAAGAGCTCCAAAATTTTCCTCCATTCCTACTGAAGTTGTACTCCCTATATTTTCACCTTCATTTGTCGTCTGGAAAGCCTTATGTTACTCTTCTTAGAACTTGAACCATTTCCCTTTGCTAGTCAGGTAGGACACTCAGGAATAATATACCCATGTTGCTTGCAATAGGTACAAAATTTTTTTCTTCCGACAGTGTGGGATAACATGTTCATATTCCTTGCATTCATAACACTATACTCGGGACAAGTCCTTCTTGGGCTTAGATTTGTTTATTAGAAAGGTTATTTCTAGAATCAAATTTTGACCTCAAGGTCAATTGAGTAATGAGTCTAGTTTCTTCCATAAGAAGTTCCCCCAAAACTATGTCAAGTGTGGGAGGAGTGCCCCTACTGAGAATGTTGGACCTTACAGTCTCCTATTCAGGTCCCTGATGCATTAGAAAATGCATAATCTTCCTCCTATCAAAATGTTCCTTCAGATTTTTTATGCAGCAAGCAGAAGTGGTTTCACCCATGTGAACTAATTCATATTCTATCCACAAATTCACAAACCCAGCATAGTACTCTTGTATTTTCTTCTCACCCTGACTATAAGAAAAAATCTGTCTCAATCTAATATTGACAAGAGATGTTGGACTGTTGGTATACCTTTCCAACGTAGTTGAACATCTCAGTAACAGTCCGATAACTTCTCATTGGAATAGCAATCTCAGTTTCAACAAAGCCAAGAAGCCAAGACACTACATTGGCATTGTCGATCTTCCATTGTTTCAGCCCCTTGGAATCAGATTCATCGGTTGTTTTGTGGAATCATCAACGAATCCCCATAGGCCATTTCCCTCAACATAGAACTGGAAATGGAATTTCCAGAAGGCATAGTTTGTCCCATTGAGCTTTAGTGGTAGAATATCCCTTTTCTCCATGGCCATTTCAGCAATGAATAAACAAAAACTTAAGAAAGTAGAGTAGCCGAAGGTCCAAAAGAAATAAAAACTTGATGGGATATGTGTGTCCAATCACACATCACAAGGAGGAAGCAAAACCCAATAAAAAACAGCCACCCAAAATTTTCGAACTGATAACAGTTCAAAAGAGGTAAGTTTCCTGGACTGTCAAACAAGAAGGGCAGAACACCCTTCAAATGTAATCTGAACTAGAACTAAATTATAGATCTATATAAATCTGACCTAGGCGACTTCAGATCTTAAATTTCACAGTGTTAGAAGTAGCTGATTGAGAGATAGAGAGGAAACCCTATTGCTGATGGCAATCTTCCAGAGAAAGAACAACAAAGTTGTGCTGATCAGTACAGCAACCTAAGAGATCCAAAGTTGAAGTAGATGGGTCGATCTCACAGACCAAAACAGATTTCAATCAAGAACAGGTTGGAAAAAAAAAAAAAAAAAACTTAATCTGATACCATGTCAATTCAGTTCAAATCAAAGAAGAAGAACTAGGAAATGAAAGGGTGTGTGTTCTCTTGAGTCACACACCTAGAAAGGATTATCTTATATATGAAAGTGTACAAGGTTATGGAAAGGACAGTTGTGCCCTTCTCTTACAAGAAAGAATAAAACAAAGAAATAGTTACATATGTTACAACATAAAAAAGTGGTCCCAAGGGCCAAAAAAGGAAAGAAGATAATAAGAGACATGAATCAGTCTCTACAGTGATTATGAGTTTGATGATCAAAAGAAAAATGCCAAAAAGAGTGAAATGAAAAGAAAACAAGAGTATGAGAAAAAAAAATAAGAGGATAGAGTTGTGTATGGGGGTGTTATTTTAATCTGATTATACACCCATTTGATTGGTATTTATATATGAGAGACTTAAAATTACAACCCTGATTTTAATTAGAAACTCCCCTTGCTAGATTAATTAAATAGAAAAACAAAACATCCTTGGATATATGGCCAGCTCTCAACACAGAGAAATTCATATATTACCATGTCTGTTATACATCTCAGCCTACAATAATCCCATAGAGTAATATAGATCGGACACCTATTTCTCAACAATCACCATAAAAATTGCCAATTTATGAGGAGAAAAATATATTAAATTGTAGTATTTTATTGCCTACCAGGACACAACATGCTTAGAAAAATAAAGAAAGGAAGTAAAGACAAATTTACAGAACGAAAAAGCCTTGAGAGATTATGGTTCCATAAAACAAAAAAATTAAAGAAAGTCTCAGACAGATAAATTATAACTTTGTAACCCTTGTAGTACAAACATGTATGCTTAGCAGAAAAATCATAATTGGACAAGCAAGACTATGATAGGTATAACAAAATGAAATGAAAGAAGAATTAAGTGGTTGATTTACTTGAATATTGGAACTGAAAACAGTCTCGATGGAATTTGTCCACTAAGATCATTGGATGAAAGATCTCTGTGACAACAATAAAAGATAATTATTATGTATAGCACAGACTAGAAGAGGGGCAATAAATAAGAAGGAATATAAACTAAAACAATACTAGAAGGTGCATAGGGATTCCTCACAGTTCTTTTAACCGCGTAATATTTGCAATCGAATCTGGAATAGATCCACTTAACTTGTTCTCACTTATTATTCTGACTCAAAGATCAAACAAAACAAAATTTTGCAAACCATGGTTAAGTTTATAAGTTGACTTGCATCAAGAGAAAATGCACTTAGAAGGTACAGTTTCCATGAACTTGATATTAACTGTAGCTCTTAGGAGATAAAGCATCAAAAAGCTCATGAAGAAAATAGCAGGCTTACAAATGTTTTAGGCTGAACAATTGACCCCAAGTTTTAGGTATAGATCCACTGAACCTATTGTTTCCAAGATTCAGGTATTCCAGGTGCTCCATACTACCAAGGTAATCAGGTAACACACCAGACAGATGATTATTCTGCAGCTCCCTGCATGATGTAAATGTTTATGATAATGCCTCTCTGAATAACAAATGCACCACCCACAATCAAGTTTGCAGCCCAGCACTCAGGGGAATGAGCCAATAATTGAATCTACAACATTTCAACTTGTCATCTGTTGCACTTTTCATATCATTGAATCTATGCAGACATAAATCGGTTTTCCCCAGGACAAAGCCATGGAAATTGTTCGAAAGAGAAATATGTCTTCATAAGATTTTTATAAAATAAGTAAAATAGGGTTTTTCTAAATAATAAAGACACCATTTTTCTTTGTTTTTCTTTTAAGACATAATTCACATGAGGAGAGACATCAATTGCTCTGCTGATCTTTTAATTTCTTCTTTGCTGCATGAATCAACAAAATTTACATATTGTAGGCTTCCATAACCTATCATCTAGAGAGAGGAGATACAAATGGATAAATATAAATACTTATAAATGCCTTCTATACTGTTTTAGCTGATGGGACCTTCCCCTGATTGGCAGATAATATTGTACCAGTGCTTCTTAATTGATGATGAAGTAGTGTAGTAGTTTAATGATTGGCAGGGGTAATGGGGCCCAGCATTTCCAGACTTCCAGTTTCCTACTATAAATAAAATTACAGCAAGGTATAAATACAAGGCAAACTACAGATGGCCAGAGTAGATTATATCTGATTGAATCTTTATAATTCACTCCCAGACCCATGAATTCTTCCCTACAGAAGATTCTGTCTTGTCACTCCTGTCTTTGCTATAGTGTCAGCCAACTAGCTCATAATTGGAAATCCTTGAGACCCATCAGAGTGAGCAGTTTGCTTGAAAGAACCATCACCATCAGTTACATGAATCTGTTTCGTCGATCCGTTCTATTTAAAGCCATATCCACTGTTAAATTATTAGTGCTTAAATCATTTCTTACTAGTTCTACCCATGTCCTTTTTGGTCTACCCCTAGCTCTTCTAGCCCCTTCCACTTGTACCAAATCACTTCTAACTAGAGTTGTTAGTGTTCTTCTGTGCATGTGACCAAACCATTTTATCTACTCTCTCTTCAAAGCTCTTCTAGCCCCTTCCACTTGTACCAAATCAGTTCTAACTAGAGTTAGTGTTCTTCTGTGCATGTGACCAAACCATTTTAGTCTATTCTCTCTTCCTCTCTCATTTTATCACCTATTGGAGCTACTCCTAGGTTTCTACGGATGGATTCATTCCTAACCCAATCCTTTCTAGTTTTTCCACTCATCCATCTTAGCATTCACATTTCTGCCACACTCAGTTTCTGAACATGTTGTTTCTTGACTTCCCAACACTCTGTTCCATACAACATAGCTGGCCTTACAACTGTTTTATAGAATTTTCCTTTTAATCTAAGTGGTATTCTCCTATCACACAAAAGTCCAGATGCACCCTTCCATTTTGCCCAACCTGCTCTAATTTTTTGGGTGACATCATCCTCAATCCCTCCCTTGTTATGAATTATTGAACTAAGGTACTGGAAATGGTCACATTGAGTCACCTGAAAGAATCATATACTAATTTCAGTAAAAACCATATCTACAACATCTAGTTATTACCAAAAACAAAAATATATTCAACCAAGCACCTTATATTGGTGAAAAAAAATTACACATGTACCAACTAATCATAAAGAAAGTGCTAATGTGTCAATATAGGAACTTACAAGCTGATTAAAAACTTCAATTTGGTAATTGACTGTGAAAGAGTTCCTGAAAATCCATTTGATGATAGACTCCTGCAAGGGTGGGCATTCGTAAACTAAATGTACTGCAAAATATACACAAGTTGAACAAATGCCAAAAATCAAACATGAAGATGGAAAAGACATGGTAGTCATTAACCTTTAGCTCATTGATGTACCAGTATACCACTGAAATGACATATATTCTTAGATAAATACAGGAGTAAAAGCACTCACAGGGCTATAACCTTTCCATTCCTACAAGTGACATGAGACCAGCTAAAACATGGGTTCACAAAATACGTATTCCAATCAGTAATTCTTTTATTGGTATCATTCAGATCCTTCAGAAACTCGACTAAAGCTTCACCTGAAACATTTCATCGAAAAGAAAGAACCATTCCATCAAGCTCAATAGATGAGAGAATTAAGGATATCTACCAAAAGCACAAATCCAATCCATACCAGAAAATACAACATTTTTGTTACTTAACCAGCCTTCAGAAGAAATAAATACATTGGGTACACTAATCAGTAAGATTGATAAATTAGCAATTAATGCAAGAAATGCCAATTGGAAAGCAATAATCATGCTTCTAATCCTCCAAGCTACCAATAAATGAACTATACCATTTGATATCTCTCCTCATCCAAAAAATTTTTAACATAATAAAATGCATCATGGAAGGATTTGACTATGAATCCATTGATCCTAAAGGACTTATTACCACTTTACTCGGACTAGGGAAATTTATATTTACTTCATAAACAGACATGCTGGATCATCCAAAAAAATTTTAACATAATAAAATGCATCATGGAAGGATTTGACTATGAATCCATTGATCCTAAAGGACTTATTACCACTTTACTCGGACTAGGGAAATTTATATTTACTTCATAAACAGACATGCTGGATCATGCATCTATCAATCTATAGATAGAGATTGAAATAATTCACACCTTGGATGTTTCACAGATGGTGATGGTATCAACTCATATGGCCAACCAAGATTCAAGAAAGAAATGGTAGCAGAAAATAAAGCAAATGATATTTAACAAATTCTCCTTTCAGGATAATGAATTCTTTGTTCTCTCATGAAAAATCATGAATGAGGTCCTACATAGAAGAAATGCCTTATGAGTTCTTAAACTTCATTTGGTATTATGCATCTTGTAAGGATAGGGTTATATTATTGGAGGACTTATAGTGGAGGAAAATGCCTTTATAAGATAACTACCCTTATTTTTATTCACTCCATATAGCCCATTGTATAGTGATGTACGAGGTTGGTCCTTCGTGGAACTTGGGTTAAAGTTTCTATCCCTGACCACAAAGTTTGATCTCTAGTGAGCACTAGGTCCAAGCCTATCCCTACTTGTGCTTCTTCTTGGTCATTTCTACTTTCCTCCACTAAGACCTTTCTCAGAAAAAGTCATTTGGCCCAAGTCAATCCCTCTTAATGAAGTTGCCTTTTATCTGGGAAGTTTTCCATTTGAGGATCAACACTTACGAGGTTCCATAAAAATGGAGACCCAATTGATGCTTGTCACCCCACAATTGCTTATTTTGTAAAGATTGTGGTGAAATTACGCACCATCTACTAATCTCTTGCCCTTATGCATTGACCATTTGGGAGCATTTCTTTTCTATCTTTAGATGTAGGTGGTCTCCTCTAAGGGATATTAAATAACTTGTTTAATGAGACTTTTTCCTCTCCATCCAAGAAAAGGGGGAATATTTTATATAGCTTTGTTAGAGATTTTGTCATTCGGTCAATTTGGGAGGAAAGAAACAGAAGAATCTTTATGGAAGCAATAAAAACATGAGAGGTCTTGATTGAAAACATTATAGTAAAGGTAGTGCGTTTGACTAAAATACTTTTGCTTTTTAATCCTTTCTCAGTGGATGAATTGCTAAGAGGTTGGCAATTTATTGCCTTTTCATCATCTCTGCTTGCTGCTAATAGAATGGTTCCTCCATTATGCACCCCCCCCCCAACCCACCACTTGTGAACCGTCTTAAATTAAACTCTGATGGTTGCAGCATGAGAAACCAAGGGCAATCAAGTATAGGGCCAACCTAGTGGATGATTTTCAAAGAGGTAGATAATATATTGCCTCTTCATCATCTCGACTTGTAGCATTACCAAGGATAGTCAAATATTGAGCCAAACTAGGGGGCGTTTTTAGACACTATTATGACACAGTGGCAGCAACATTTTCTAGTCCTATAGGGCATGGAAACTCAACAAGAACAGAACTGTTGGCTGTACTCAAAGGCCTAAGAATAGGGAAAGAACTCAACTACGTCCATCTGATGATGGTAGAGGGGTACTCAAAGGTCGTGGTGGGATGGCTCAAAAGAAGCACATGAGGCCATAGCAATACAGATATGTTATGAGAGATCAAAATTTTGGCCAGAAACTTGGGAGCCATTTTTAACTGGCTTCAAAGATCATGCAACAGTATGGCAGATGTTTTAGCCATACAAGAAGTCAACAGAACACATATGTATTGGGGAATCATACCTAGGAAAATAACTGATGATGTAATGTAAAAAGAAAAGGAACTTGGGTTAGGTAGCATGGCCAACCTAAATATGGGATGGTTGTCTTAATTGATGTAAATATTCACATTCTATTAAAAAATTAATAAAGGAAGCTTTAGTGACTGATAAAAAAGGGTAAAATACTTAAACTACCCCTAGGTTTTGCAAAATTGACTAACGGCACCCCTATTAGCAGGTTGAGCTGTCAACACACCCAATTCCTGAAGGCCCTGGATTCTCAAGGCTGCTTCCATCAAATTTTAGCTTTACGAACCCTGCTTTTGGAGGTACCCAAGTAGAACAAGGCCTAACCATAATTTCTGAACTTTTTTCTACAACTTCCCAATTCCTCCAGAAATCATCAAAGAAGAATTAAGAAAATAAAGCCATGATTTTGACCCAGTGTAGAGCCCTACTTAAGATGCATTCTCAAATAACCTCCAAATTCCTTTCCATGCCATTAAAAATTCTGGTATTTCTCTATTCTCATATTGTCTAAACCACTGCATCCCTAGCACATCTCCACAAAATCCTACCCCTCCTCTTCAACCATCTGAAGGTTGTATGGTTAAAAAGGCAACTAACTTGCAGACATAAAGACCATATACAACCAAAAAGTACAAATAATCTTTCCTAAAGGATTGCAACAAGCAGGCAACAGATTAGCAAATGGTAATAACCCTCACCCTTAGCTAGAGAGGCAAAGGAAGGGTATTTGTTTTTGCAAAGTGTCCCAACATATTTAATTTTCCATGATGGACTTTTCAACAAAGAGCACCAACCTGGGTTTCATGTGTTTGGACCAAACTTCTTTAAAGGGAATGACAAAGGGGAGAAAGCCAAATGCAAGGAAGAAAATAAGGAAGCACAAGAAAAGATGCCCTTTAGGTGAGGGGTCCAAACCCTACAATCTGGTAAAGAAGGACCTAAAAGAAAAGACTCAAGAGTTTTAAAAAGTAAAGGAACCTGATCCAACTCATGATTCCTCAAGTCTCTTCTGAACTCCAAATCCCAACTAATACCATTTAAAGGGGAAAAGGAAACAAATTTCTGAACTGCTTCATTTTTAAAGGGGAAAGGGAGTACAAAGAGGCAAAAAGGTCCTTGGGAGAAGAGTTACCAATCCAGAGGTTTTCCCAAAACAAAACCTTGTCTCTGGTACACACATCAAATGTTGTTTTCCAGTTATCTGGAGTCTTGGGAGGGCTACACTGGATATGGTTCTAACCTTTGGAATTTTTGCACAAAATGGCTGCTCTAAGACTCAAAACTGCATTCTCGCGCTTGCAAGCCTGAGATTTTACCACTAGACCAAGTAATGGCCCCTATCCTTTATGTCTCAACAATCAAAAGTACAAGGCCATTACCCAATGTTGCTCTAAGACTCAAACCTTTGGCATTTTTTAACACAAAGTGGCTGCCCTCGGACTTGAACCTGCGTTCTCATGTTTGCCGGCCCAAGATTTTACCATTGCACCAAGTAATGGCCCCTTTTTAACAATCAACAGTGAAACCCTAAAATTGAACATAAACATATATTAGAATATAATAGGATGTTTCAAAATGCAAACTAATAGATAAACTCACAGTAATAATTTTACAATAGGGTGCTTATATTGTTATTATTGTTTCCTGGACAAATATGCCTCGTTGCCTTGATCAGTGCATTTTGTATAGTTCATTGCCCAGTGCAAGGGTAAAATCTTAGGCTGGAAAGTGTGAGAACATAGGTTTGAGTGTGGGAGTGACCACTTTGTGAAAAAAAAACAGAAAACAAATGCTAAAGTTTAGGTCCATATCCAGTCCAACCCTCCCAAGAGTTAAGACCGTGGATACATAATAATGGCCCCTTTATGGCATTCAGGCTAGGAAGCCCGACAAGGAAACCTTTTCACCTAGGCAAACACCTAGATAATGCCTTAACAACTATGACTGCTTTCATTTCCAGCTAGCAGATTCTATTTAGGAATGACAACGGAGTGGGGAAGGGCCGGGTTTTGCATACCCCGTCCCCAACTCCAAACTCAATTACCCAGCCCCATACCCCAACGGGGATAAGAAATCCCAACCCCATCCCCATCCCTGCGGGTGATGTGTAGAGATAAAGAGAATTAACTGAGGACTATTTTTGTACTTTTACCTTCTTTCTTGTACAATAGTTTGTTTTGTGCACTATATTATGTATATTAAGGGAAGATTTGTCCTTTTATCATTTTAATATAAATATCATTCTCTTGGGTGCCAACAGTTACTTTTGATACACCCACCAAACTGTTCTCTCTCTCTCGATCTAACTCTGACATGGTATCAGAACAGGTCACGATCTGATCTGCATAAAGCTTCTTTTATACATGTGTTCTCTCCGTCCTTCGAAGTCTCCCTGAAAGTATTTGGGAAACCTTCAAGTTCCCTTGAATCTCTTTTCTAGGGATGCTTCGATCAGATCTATAAAGACCAGATTTCTTGAATGTTGTGCCATCAGAAATACTTTTCTCCTCGGATTCCTCTTAGAAACATCAGATCGGCCTGAATCTTTAGATCTAGTGTTGCCTAGAGGAGTACTATTGATCCTCTTTGGTTTGGTTTGAATCGGTATTGATCTAGAAGGGTTTTGATCCATTTATGTCTTCGGCAGACTGATACAGTTTCCTTTTCTGGACATCAACTAAAAGGTACTTCTCTCTACTTTCTGACTCAAAGTCTATCTACTCCTTTGGAAGTGTGAACTACTGTTCTCTTTCTTTTTAATGGTGTCAGAAAGAATGGATGCTCTCCCTATCAATTTCAATGGTATGAACTATGCTTTGTAGAAGTTTAATTTTCAATTCCATGTTGAGGCAAAGGGACTTTGGGGATACTTGGATGGGTCTATAGTTAAACCTGATGATTCAGACATTAAGGCATTAAGGCCCTTAATCAATGGAAGATTGAAAATGCAAAAACTGCATCATGGATCGTAGGATCAATTGAAACTGATATTTCAATTCCTATGAGGGGATATCGGACTGCATGTGAGATGTATGAGTGCCTTGAGAAAGAATACCTACAATCAAACACCTCTAGATAGTATCAAATAGAAGTTGATATATTTTCATATCATCAAGGAGAAAGGAAAGTTCAGGAATATATGCAGGATTTATTAATCTCTGGACGGAGTATGAGATAGTGCATATGAGAAAGGATCCTTTAGATTGTTGTGTGAAGTATATGAAAGAGCATTTTGATAGAAGGAAGATTATGCATTTGCTAATGCATCTCATACCTGAATTTGAAGTTGTCAGATCCAATATTCTTAACCAAGGGACTCTTCCTAATCTAGATACTATCCTTGGGGAAATCTTGAGAGCAAAAACCAGGTTTGTTACACAAACTACTCTTGATGGAAGAAAATATTCAAACCCAAGGAGTTTGGGTATGTTGTCTCACACTGCAAGAAGAACACATGTACTTATTTTAAATAGTCCAAACATAGCATTACAAAATGCTCCACTAGACCCCACAAAGGTAGTGGATTAAATCAGAAGAAAGAAACCTATAAAGCTTATCAGACTTCCATAGAGTTCAGATGCCTCCTCTTCTATTGCTTCAGTGATTGGACAAAATGATACTTCTGGTGGTATGTCTAAAGAAAGGATTCGACATCTCATGTCCTCGGTCATCTCTTCTGCCTTTTTGGCTATTGATCTGTCTGGTAAGTCTCCTACCTACTACCCTTCATCAAATCACCTTTGGATTATTGACTCTGGCACCTCTAACCACATGATGGGGGCCACCATTGGTTAGTATCCCAAACCCCATCTCCCTAATAAACACATTGTTACTGCAAATGGTGAAAAGTTAGATATACTTGGATGTGATGATTTACATTTATCTGCCTCTAAGCCTTCTTCCTTTCACCTACCCAAAACCTTTTTGTACCCAAGTTAACCACTAACTTAATTTTTGTTGGCCAACTTGTAGAAAATGGTAACATTGTCTTGTTTTCCTCTGATGGTTGCTTGATACAAGACCAACAAACTAGGGAGGTGAAAGGGAAGGGGCTTAGATTGGTTCGGTTGTTCACTCTAGAGTTTGAGAATAAGAAGGCTTATTCTATTTCTACTTCTTGTCTTCTTTCTACTACTTCTAGTTTTGAGTCTTTTAATTATAAACGCCTTGGTTACCCTTTTCTAAGAAACTTGATCACAAGGGAGGCGGCTAGCACCATTATGAATCTCATAAAACATTTTTCCTTCATCTATCCTAAACAACACTTTTTCCTTTTCAATCCCTCCACAAATCTCCAGACCTATCTATGCTCAGAGTTTTTGGTTGTGTTTGCTTTGTTCACCTTCCACCCCATGAAGACACAAAGTTAACTGCACAGGCAACTTTGTGTGCCTTTGTGGGGTACAGTCCTGATCACAAGGGATTTCTTTGCTATGACCCCGTAGCCCACCACATTTGGATTTCTTGTAATGTAATTTTTCTTGAAAATGTGTCTTTCTTTGAACATGTTAAATTTCCTGCTCCATTTACCTCTTTGTTGCATAGCTTTGATTCTACAGATACTCTAAGTGCACTGACATCACCCCTGCAGCAACTACAAAACTTACTTTAGGAGGCTACGATCTACATCAATCTCAATGCCCCTCTCCTCTCTACCACTAGCTGCTAATCTAGTCACTCCATTTGTTCCTGTAATTTCACCTGAACCCACTGCACCCACTTTGGGTTGTTCCTTTATAATTTCTCGTTCACCTAACCATTATGGTTTCTCACTAGATCATAGCTCCTTTTCTATTGTTTTATCCACCACAAACATTCCCAAATCTTACCAACAGGTTGTAGCAATTCCACATAAGATGCCATGGACTCTGAGATCCAAGCCCTTCTTGAGAATGACACCTGGGACCTAGTTAAAGCTCCACCTAAAGACTCTCTCATTGGTAGTAACTAGGTTTACTCTATGAAGTTGAAGTTTGATGGGGGCCTAGATAGTACAAGACTAGGCTTGTTGCACAAGGTTATAAACAGGAGTATGGTATAGATTATGAGGAGATTTTTGCTCCTTTAGCAAAAATGACCACCCTACGACTCCTGTTGTCTATATCTACAACAAAACATTGGACAATTCATCACGTGAACATAAAGAATGCATTCCTACATGGGGAATTGAAGGAGACTATGTACATGAAGCCTCCTAGATATTACACAAATCCACATCTTGTTTGTCACTTAAAGAAGTCTCTATATGGCCTCAAACAAGCTCCTAGGGCCTGGTTTGAGAGATTCAGATCTGTTATCACTGCTGTCGGCTTTATTCAGAGCTCTTCAGATCCTTCCCTCTTTACCTTACATCGGGAGCAGAGGGTGACAATTCTACTTCTCTATGTTGATGAAATACTCATTACAGGGAATGATGTAGAAGGAGTTTCCGATTTGAAACGACTACTCAGTGAATCTTTCAAGATAGAAGAACTTTGGTCCTTGACTTATTTTTTGGGGCTTGAAGTAAGCCGTAATTCTTAGGGTTACTTTGTCAACCAACATAAATATGTGGTTGATCTTGTCAGAATGGTTGATACTCCATCGGAAATATCTTGAAGATGGTTGATACTCCACCGGAAATATCTTGAAGATCTTACTCTCTATCACCAGCTAGTAAGCAGTCTAATCTATCTTACCACAACTCAACCAGATATATCTTATGCAGTCCAACTTGTGAGCCAGTTTGTGTCATCCCCAAGACAGACAACCACGCTTGCCTATAGTCCATCAAATTATTAGATATATAAGGGGGACTTTATCTCACGGCATATTCTTCTCCTCTTCATCCTCCATTAGCCTCACTGCCTATGCAGATGCTGATTGGGCTAGATGCCCAGACACCCAACGACCTACTATACGTGGGTGTGTGTTCTTGGGCAACTCTCTCATTTCATGAAAGTGCAAGAAACAATCCACAACCACTGAAGCTAAATACAAAGCCATGTCCTCAGTGTGCAGTGAAATTATATGGCTTCGAGCTCTCCTACATGACATCCTCAACAAGACATCACCCTCTATTCCTCTCTTTGCAGCCAATGTAAGTGCAATCAAAATTGCATCAAACCTTGTACTCCATGAGAGCACAAAACATATCGAAGTTGATTGCCACTTCATTCGTGATCTACTTCTTACAAGTACTATTTCTCTTCCACATGTGTCCTCCAGCCTCCAACTTGCAAATCTATTGACAAAGGCAATGACTTGAGCTTGACATATATTTCTCATGGACAAACTGATGCTTATTCCTAGGTATTAGTTTGACGGGGAGTACAGAGATAAAGAGAGTTAGCTGAGTGGTATTTTTGTACTTTTACTTTCTTTCTTGTACAATAGTTTGTTTTGTATGCTATCTTATGTATATTAAGGGAAGATTTGTCCTTTTATCTTTTTAATATAAATATCATCCTCTTGGATGTCAACAGTTACTTTTGACACACTCACTAAACTGTTGCTCTCTCTCTCTCTCTCTCTCTCTGACATAATAGGGATCCCCAAATTTGCCCTGCCCTAAACCGGTTATTTATTTGCAATTTTTTTCTTATTTTCTTTTAGAAATATCATGTATTAGGCAGGGTGGATAAATACTATCCCCGCCCTGTCCCCGGTCCCTAGAGTTTTGGGTTTCCCTAAAACCCACCCCAAACCTGATCAGTGGTCAAAAAACCCACCCCAACTGAATGGGGCAGAGTGGAACCCCACAGGGATGGAACAAATTGCCATCTTAAATCCTATTCGTGTTTCTTCCTTTTTTATAGAAATTCTTCTTTATCAGGAAAAAAAAAATCCAACCATACAGCTTCAGTAATTATTGGATTCATGATGGTGTAGGATCCCATTATGATCCATAAAGGATGTCCAGTAGCATGAACCAGGACTGAACTAAGAAACAATAAGTCAGTGGTCCAGCAGTTGGCTTGCAGAGAAAGGTGAATTCACTTATGTGCTAACTTCATGCTCACAGAAAATAGTGTCATACATGTTATCTTTGGATGGGGAAGGGGAAAATCAGAACTGTGTTAGAGCCAGTCAATTCCAAATCATTAGCATACCATAAGATCCTAATACATAACATATTCTATCTTTCAGAATTTGACTATACCTTCATAATCAGGTTCCACAGATGAAAGACCAACACTTAGCAATTCAAGGAGTATAAGGAAACATAGTAGCAACTTTACATGGACCTTCCAGCAGCAAAAGACACGGGAAGCCAAACTCTTTCCTCCATCCAAGGGTGATTCACCCAGAAGTATCCTACTCCTTTTTCCACTTCTTGACAATTCTAAGGAAAGCACAAAAGTCATAATAAAAATCAGAGACTTTGTAAAATAAGATGCATAGTTTGGAAGTTTATAAACAACATGAAACCAAAAAAGCCAATGCATTAAAATTGAAACCAAAACAGCCAGGTACAGAACAAAGAAGCCAAAGTGTCTAAATATCAGTAAGAAAAAGTTCAAAAAGAAGAAGAAAGCTGAAATCTCATTCTGGTTTCTAATCAAAAGCTAGATCAGCAAATCAAATTTCTTGTAAATTAACTAAAGGAGGGATCCGATGTGCTGTAATGCAGCATTGTTCTTCCTATGTAGTTTGGTTTCCTTTCGTTGTATGGTAATGTGGTTGAATACACCATATCTCCATATCTCAGGTAATAGTCCTTTCTTCTGTCCTTTTCTCTGCCAACTTTTAACAAATATCCTCATCATTGATCAGAAAACTAAAGAAAATGAGAAAAAGAAAGTAGCCATTATCAAACTACTTTTTGATAACACATGTTTGTAATAATTGAATTAGAAGTTTGTTGTATGAAGGACAGAAAAAGAAAAACTAAAAGCAGAAAAACAACAAAAACCATTCAAATATCATACTAAGATACTGTACACCAGCAGTTCTGTTGTTCATATATATTCAGGAATCGTGCATCGTATATAGCATACCTAGTACTAATTCCAATCATATGTTTTCTGTACATACTTTTAAAATTTTAATAAAATTTTACTCTAGGATTTGTCAGCTATAGGGCTGGTTATGTGAGCCTAACCCACATTGGCTTCTGTATTTTTTTTTTTTTTGATAAGTAGTAAGAAGTATTATATTTCTGTACAAAAAATAATACATAACCAGTCATACATGAAAGTACCAACATCTACAGAAGAACTGATGCAACACACTAGCACACTGAATGAGAGTCCATTCAATTTGGCAGGCCACCTCCACCACAGAAGACCTTTTATTCTGAAAATCCTGCTATTATGCTCCGTCCAAACACTCCAGAAAACAGAAAAAGGCAGCTAGTCCCATAACATTTTCTACTTAACAGAAAACACCTGACACCCTCGAAGAAGATAGTAAGCTGTTATGTCCCAGAAACTTTACACACGATTCTCAGACTCACAGCAGAATTCACACAACTCGAACATCAACAAAAGAAACTGGTATTCATTCAGAAGAAAAGAAGAACATTAACAGTTGGTCGGTTCTTCGAGAGACCGCCAGCTCTCCCAATCACTCACAGTATTCTTCACTCAACAAAAAGCATACCTCCCCCATCCCCCAAAGCCACTTCTTATACTCTTCTCACAGCATAACTGACTCCCTCAATAAATGCCCAGCTGGCCAAGTTATAAATGCCCAACACTCTTCTTATTCCTAACTGACATAGCTATAAATGCCTCAAGACTCTCCTTATTCCCTGCAGCTATAATTGCCCCCATGTGATTAATTGTTCAATTATTTCCCCCCCTTAGCCGATTGTTGACCTTTCCTCTTCCTGGCATAC